ATATATGAAGTCGACATCATCAAATAGCAGATGTATGTTGCTGACTTCAAATATATATGTTGGCTAATATGTTATTCATGAGTCATGTGATGGGCTAATTATAGATAGCCGTTTGTAGTTAGTTATCTTTCTCATATTTTAAAAAATTATATCTATTAATATTATAAAAAAAATATGAAAATAAAAAAATAAAAATATAATTTTAACATTTTAGTGGTAGTGACGAATGACGTTGATGGAGGTCATGGATGGCTATTATGAACGAGGAGAGCAACGATGAAAGGTGAGTGTCACTTTGCATTTGTATTGACATTGATGCAATTGTCTAGTAACCATTTCATCGCTTTACATCTGTGTTGGTGTCAATGCAATTGTCAAGTGATTCTCACATTTTACCGCTGCTTTGTATTTGTATCGATATTAACATAATTATCGAGTGACCATTTCATCACTCTACATTTGCGTTGACATTGATGCATTTACCAAATGGCCTTCACCTCTTGCCATAACTCTGCATTTGTATCGACGTCGATACAAAACAACGACACTCAATATGTGCATCGATCGACGATCTTTTTGTCGCTCAGTGACTACATCAATAGTCCTTTCGTCACTCAGTAATTATATCGATATCGATGTAAATGTAGAGTGATCCTTATCCACAACAACCATCTACAACTCCCAATGATACCACCATTTATAATCATAAAACAAAACATTAAAATTATCTTTATTATATTTTGTCTTGCTATAGGGTTGCTAATATAATTTTTTTAAATATAGGGATCAAGATACTAAATGTAGCTAACTATATCTACGTAATTAGTTTGAGCGTAAAGTAATCATTATTTTTATCTAAGAGGATATTTGAAGCTTAATTAAAGCCTGATAAATGCACAATGTAAGATCTGATTTGAACTTTTTATGACATAAAATCCATATAATATTTGTAGGGGTTTCTCACATGACATTGTTAAGTTAGTCCATACTGTATTGACAAATGCACAATCCATAAATTTTTGAAGTCAATCCAAAATGTTTATTTTATGGATATGGAAGCTCTATTTTTTTATTTGATAGTCATTGTCATGCCAGCTTAGTGATCTCTGATCTTTCTTTACATCGTGTAAAATTATCCATTGTTCTACCAGAAAAATGTCATCTCAATCCATCTCTACATGCATTCCTAACTTGAAGATCTTTGTTCTTCACAGCTTATTCATCATTTCATGTGCATATATTATATATGTATGAATCTACTGCAAACTGATGCCTAGTCTCCTCTCTCTCTCTCTCTCTCTCTCTTTCTCGTGCCTCCATTCCTATGTCAGAGTTCCATTGTTGTGATTACTATTAGGATGATAGCCACCATCATCTGTAGATCTTCTTTTCTCTTACTTGTGACTGTGGTGATGACAACCTTCATATATTTCCATGAACCTTTACATAGACATTCTTTATGTTCTCGAGTGACATACCAACTTCCACACACATTTACTTGGGGACAGGAAGATATGGTCCTATGTAGAGTGTTTCAGAAGAGCAGAAGTGCCACTTCCGAGCCAACCAAGGCGCCGCCCGGCAATGGCGAGGCGGCGGCCTCTTCCTCCCTCCCTCCTCCCATGGATAGCTTCGCCGCCTTCGAACACCAACCCCCGGCGAGCTCGGAAGTCCACAAGCAAGTCTCCGCCTTCTCCGACCTCGCCCCACACTGCGGAGCAAACGATGGAGCCATCAATCCTCGCTTCATGGTGCAAAGAAGCCTCCAGATCAAGAACTCGGGTTCTTCCGTGTTGAGCTACTCCACCGAGTTGGAGGGCAATCCAAAGAGGGAGGTGCCTCCATCTCCATGCATGGCTGCAAGAAGCTCAGGCAGCTACTTCACCGAGAATGGCTTGTCATACGTTCGGAACCCTTTCGGAGCTTTCTACGCCACCAGTTAGATGATCTCTATATGCCCATCCTACTTGTACGCATCCAAATCTAGCTTTAGATGGTTTATCAGCACCCTGCAGTGATTCCTCATGCATAGGGAAGAAACCAACAAGCATTGTGTTTGCCATTTTCGTCTTATATATTGCTGCAATTCTCTACTTCAGCTATATATATGGTTAATTAATTAGTATCAATATTAATCATTGTTTTGCTATATCTTTTTTTGTTATATTTGAAGCAGAATTTATTCTCTTTATAAGAAAGTGAAGCATAATAAAAGCTTTCAGTGCATTCCATCAGAGAAGTCAGCTTCTGCCACTCTCCATTTTTCCTCCTTTATCTTTGTAGTTCTAAGCCTGTGAAGATAAAATAGCTAAATATACTTTTTTTTTTAATCAAATGGAATTTATTAAACTATGTTTTATCCATGAGAGAGAGAGAGAGAGAGAGAGAGAGAGATTATCTAATACAAAGAGAAATGGGAGATGTGACAGAAAGGGAGAGAAAGAGAGAAGAAATAGGATAGATTAGACAAGAAGTACAAATTTCAATTGGTTTGGAATCTTCCTATTTTCTAGAGTGCTGTAAGTGTTGATCTTGAGCTTTTCTTCCACAATCTCTCTCTATACTGTATATATGATCTATGATCATAATGGATCAAACAAAGTGATTCCTTGCTAAAATCCATGATATGCAAACCCCCGCTCTCTGTCAATAATAGATTTTGACGTTTCCAAGGCAAAGAAGAAAGAGAGAAGATGTGATGAGACAAACCTCAAGATCTCAACACTTGTGTTTCTTCCTCTTCTTGTTCTTCACTGTTGCAGAAGAAGATGGCTGCTGCCTTCCAAATGCTTCTACTTCCACATGGTTTGACGATCAGTTGCATCAGATTGGTAGCTGCACTACTAGATTTCTGTGCTGCATAACACAAATCTTGATCTGAATCCCTCTCTTAGGTAGCAGTTGTAGGGTAGATGATACTGTTCAACTGGTACTCTTAACAACATCTCAATCTCATTGAATTGCTTGGGTTGAAGAAATGGAATGTTTCTTTTCTGCCTTCTGATACATTTAGTTCCATATTACAATCATACCATCAAACATCACGTCAATTCTCAGATATACTGATGCCGATCTGCAAGAAGAACTAAACACTCGATAACTAACGATTTATAAAGGTTGAAAGAAAAATTATAATCTTTTAATTACATCATAAATATTAGATTACGAGGAAGTCCGATAAATTATTAGGAGATTTACAATTATAAAGGACTATATAATTTTATCAAGATTTGAAAAGATCGATTATGTTAGACATATTCCATGAAACTAACAATCATCAAAATAAAATCTCACAAAACAACATACGCAAAAGATAAAATAAAAAAAATCGAACAATCACTCCAACAATTATATTTTTTTAAGATAAAAATTTATCGCCTTACTAATCATAAAACTACATTTTTTTAAACTCTTTAATAGAATTAATTAAGGACAGTTTTCTCATAAAGGCCCTTTCTTTCATTAATTATCGGCATATCCCCGTGTGTGCAAGTTTAGGGGCTTTATTATAAATTAAACAATAATAGGGCTTTAAGTGTAAAAGGAAATGGGACTAAACCCTCCCCCCTTCGCTTCCGGCCGCTCGGTGACGGCCGTCTCGTCCTCTTCGCTCGAAGTGAAAGGCTTGCTTCTACGTTGCCGGTTGGTCGTATCCGCGATTCCATTCGGGTACCTTTGCTCGGTTCTCGGATTCCTTGGTCGCTTTGCGGTCTGTTTCTTGAACCCTAACCAAAGAATAATCGTGTATTTTAGGTTTCGCCCTTGATGTCGTTCGTGTTTGTTTCACTTTTGCAAGCTTTTGTCGGTCGGTCGGTCGGTCGGTCGTAATCGTGTCTTTCTTTCGACGTTTGCGCCTTTTACGGATCCGTGGAGCTTTTCCTTATTGAAAAGATTTGTTCTTAACTGTTCTTTGTGGTATTCCACACCGGGATTGAAATTTCTTGTTGGTTCAGGGTGCCTCTTTCGAAAGAAAGATTGCACCTTTTTGGCTTGTAGGTGTTGAAAATGGATTTAATGTGGGTGAGATAAGAACAGAACGAGATGAGGATGCGAGAGCGGAAATTGAGATGGTGAGTGAGTTACATCCAGTTTTAGGGTTGTTTGGTTGGACGATTAAGTAATGGAACAAGGATTCGTCCTGTCGCCAAAGGAGCATGAGGTCAGATGTTGTAACCAATATAATATGTGATTTCGACACATTCACGTCTCGAATAAGAATAGTATAGCTAATTACGTCGTCCAGAATAACTAATTCTCTTGGTATGTATTATTGAATGGTGGCCCTACAATTTTTAAGTGGATTATTTTCTCTTCTACATTGTTCTAGAAATGGTTGACCGCAGCACACTGAGTATTAGAGAAAAGGGGGGGGATTAGGAAAGTAAATGTGTAGAACTGGCAACTAGCTGCTGGTGATGAGTGTGGAAGGAGACGGCTGTTGGTGGTGGTGATAGTGTTAGGTTATTTAGCATGGTGAGTTGCATTCGGACGGACCCAAACTTGGGCCCATTAAGTCGAATTCATCAATCAAATGAAATGGGTTTTTCAACCACTAGATTCTCAAACTCAATAATAAATTTGGTTTGTGTCAAACCCATTTACTTGATCCAAATAACTTAATCAAGTTGGATCTGAGCAAATTGATCAAATTTTACGGTGGTTTTGGCTAGAGCATTTGACTTGTCGATTCATTTCAGATAATTAGATACTAGAAGCTTTTTTTAAGGTAAAAAGCTTTCCGATTTTTTATGCATTCAAGCTCAACCTGGTTTGCTAAGGGATACGATAGACGCTAGATTATTGCATTGGACGTCTTTGGGCACAAAATTTCCCAACTTGTGACCTACTATATGATTTGTTTTTCATTCTTACTTTTTAGTGATTATCTGTCCACTCTTCCTCTTACTGTTTATTACTATATACAATAATGAAAAAAAAAAGCTAGTTCATTATCAAAATAAAGAATACTTTCAATTTCCATTCAGAATTGTTTATTTTATACTGAAACCTTGCTTCTTTTTTCATCTTACTAACTTTGATATCTTCTTTTATTTCCTGCAAAACAGCACCCTATTAGGATTTTCTATTATCCTGATCGATGGATTTAAGCACCCTATTAGGACAAATAACACCTTGTAGTTATAGGCTTGCAACATACTACATGATCTGTTGTTATTAACATATTTCATAATGTATTTTGGCCTTGATGTTTGATCTTTTTTATATTTCAGGAATAATGACAAGTGTAGAGAGTAATTCAGAAGATTCATCGGCAAAAAACTCAAGAAAGGATCCCGGTTGGAAATACAATTATCTAAAGGATCCTAAAGATCCTAATGTTGTGACGTGTATTTTTTGCGAGAAAACTACTGGAGGTGGCATTTTTCATGCAAAGCAACATCAAGTAGGGAACCTTAAGAATGTATCAGCATGCAAAATGTGTCCACCTGATGTAAAAGAAGAATTACTGGCTTATATGAATGATAAAAAAATACAAAGAAATGAATCTTATGAGATTTCACCCGAGGATGATATTCAATATCTTACAGATGATGATGAAGGAGTAGATCATTCAGAAAATGTCAATGCTAGTGGGAAAAGAATATCTCACAAAAAAGGAAAAGAAGTTATGATTTCCAAGAAGACTAAAAAAGGACCAATGGACTTGTATATGTTTCAAGAATCAAAGAAAGTTATACGAGGTCAAAAAGGAGCAAAATTAATACAAACAGGTATAAATGATGATTGTGATGAGGAAATACGTGCAAGAACGATACAACACATTGCTCGCTTCTTCTATCAAGCTGGAATTCCCATTAATGCTTGTCATTTAGATAGTTTTAAAGAGATGATTGAAGCTATTGGAAGATATGGTCCTAAATTAAGACCGCCAAGCTATCATGAGTTGAGATGTCCATTATTGAAAAAAGAGTTGGAGTACACAAATGATTTGTTGAAGGGTCACAAGAACACATGGGTAAAGCATGGTTGCTCTATTATGTCAGATGCTTGGACCGATATGAGACAAAAGAGTATAATTAATTTTATGGTCAACTGTTCTTTAGGAACTATGTTTGTAAAGTCAATATATGCATCTTCCTTTATAAGATCTGGAGAAAAGACATTTGAGTTACTTGACAAGTTTGTAGAAGAAATTGGAGAACAAAATGTCATTCAAGTTATAACTGACAATGGAAGCAACTATGTTTTAGCTGGTAAGATCTATCTTTTGAATGTTTAAAACTTTTAATTACTTTATGTCTCCAATTTGAATAGAAGAACTATATGACTCTTATGACTTATCAATTTTATTATCCTCTTTCTTTCTTAGGTGAATTACTCCAAGCAAAAAGAGAACACTTGTATTGGACTCCATGCGCGGCACATTGTATCGATTTAATGTTGGAGGATATTGGAAAGATTTCATATATCAAGATGACTTTAGAAAGAGCGATATTTCTCGTTGGATTTTTATATAGTCATACTGGGACTTTGAATATGATGAGAGGATTTACAAGCAAAAAAGAATTAGTAAGGTATGGTGTCACACGATTTACTACTTCATTTCTAACATTGCAAAGTGTGTACCGTCAAAAACACAACCTTATAAATATGCTTACCTCGAATAAATGGGTGTCAAGTAAATGGGCAAAAGATGCAAAAGGTAAGAGAGCCAGTGATATTATCTCAATGTCATTCTTTTGGAATCAGATAGTATATACGTTAAAAGTAATGAGCCCTCTTGTTCGAGTTCTTCGGCTTATATATAATGAAAAGAAGCCTGCAATGGGATATATTTATAAGGCTATGGATAGAGCCAAGGAAACAATTCAAAAATCTTTTGGTGGAAATGAAGAAAAGTATAAGCATATATTTGCGATCATAGATAAAAGGTGGGAATGTCAACTTCATCATCCACTACATGCAGCAGGATACTATTTAAACTCAGAATTCTTTTATAAAGACTCCTCCATTAAGTTTAATGTAGAAGTTGTATCTGGATTATATCAGTGCATTGCAAGATTGGTTCCAGACATTGAGATTCAAGATAAGATTATCAACGAATTATCTTTATATAAGAATGCTGAGGGTCTTTTTGGAAATCCTATGGCAATTCGATCGAGGACAA